TATTTTGTAGAAGAAATAGGTTACTTAAGTAATCTATACAAATAAGAACTAAAACTAGCAATACCTTTTGTATTAATCTGTTTTCTGTTGCTATAACAAAATATCTGTGGCTGGATAGATATAAAGAAAAGAGATTTATTTAGCTCACAGTTTTGAAGGCTGAAAGTTGAAGATTAGGTGTTCTTATCAGTTCAGCCTCTGGTGATGGCCTCCTTAGCTATATCATAACATGGCAGAAAAGCAGAGCAAAGGCCACATCAGAAGAGATCACATGGCAAGACAGAAAGCCAGAGAAATTAAGAAGTCAGGCTCTCTCTTTTACAACAACCTAGACTCATGGGAATTAATTCATTCTGGAAGACCAGCATTAATCTTTTTTCACTCCCCAAGACATAACTGTCTCCTACTAGGCCCCACCTCTTAAAGGTTTCACTGCCTCAGTACTGCCATGTTGGGGTCAAGCCTCCAGCACATGAACCCTTGAGGGACAAACTACATGTAAACCACAGGATGCTCAACTGGGGAAACATGGGATAGGGGCTGAGGAGATAGCAGAATCTTTACCCACCAAAGCAAAACATCAGTGAAGACTGCCGAGAAGTGGTGAGTACAAAACAGCTGCATGCACAGATTACTAAAAGGTATAGGAGTAATTACCTAGAGACAACTGAGAATCAAAAGGAGTTGAGCAGGGTGAGAAGGCACAGGGCAGGGGACTGAGGTTTATTATTAGTAGAACCTTTTGTGATCTACTTGATTTTTCATATGCAAGAGGCAATGATCACAGGAGCTGAGAATGAGCATCTCATTATCCTTCTTTGTTCCCCCTTTTTATTCCATGGTCTCCTCTGTCTGCTCCCAGGTCTCACCCACTTCCTCTATCCACTCATTCACTTCACATGTGCATTCTAAGCCTGTGCAGAGATCATAGACTCATGAACACTGTTCTGGAGCTCAGCTTCAGCGAGCACAAAGGACCTCTTTGCCCAGGAAGTGACACTGGCCCAGGGGCCATGATGCCCAGTTGCTCTCTTGGCCTCATTACTAGGTTTCATGCCAAGTCCCCCAGACCCAGAAAAATGGGTAATGGGCTGGAGGAGAGGCCAGCTGGGGAGTTTTCAGGCATGACCTCCATCTGGCTGAGAGCACAGGCAGCAACTAAAGATTTTTCTTTAAAAATAAAGAAAATAAAACCAGTGATGGCAAACCTTCTAGAGCATTCAAAGATTACAAACAGCCAGCTGCAACATGTGTGTCATAGGTTTGCCACTACTTTTCTAGGGTGACTAAAATCAAGCATAAATAATTTTAACAAGAATTAGCAACAATACATTTTTGTAACAAATCATCCTGGAGAATTCCTCATGTATCTGACATTGTCAGGGAGTGAGGCATTTTTCCACGTGGGAATTTTCTGGCTGACTGATTTTACCATTGATTTTAGCAATTTTGAATCAAAATTATTCCCGGATGAATCATACACCTTCCTGTCTCTTCAAACAGAACACCAGCTGACATTCTGTGTGCCGGAAGGGACATGAATGCATTTTTCCAGCTGCCTCCATCCACAGATGGGGTTTAACCTTTTCCTAATGACTCAAGGCCAGTGCAGGAGCCCTGTAAAGCCCTGAGGTGTCTCAGATGACATCAGGGCCACTCAGATCAGAGGCCAGAATTTGGGGCTCTCCAATTTCATCCCCCAAGGACCTACTAACCATCTTCCTGAGGACTCAGAAAAGGAAGCACTGGACTTGCTGTTCCTTGACATTCTCCAGTCTCACACTGATGCCTCATCAATAGCCTGGTCTTACCTCTCCTTTCTTACCCTTTCAGAGCACAAAGAGGGCAGGTGCCATGAGAAGAGACAGGTTATACAAGGCCCAGCAAGGATGAGGTCACCAGCTGGATAGTTGTTCAACCCAGAAACCCAGCACAAGATGCCCTAAAAGCAGAACTAACACCAAATATGGTGAGACTAAAATACCACCAACAGGAGTCCATGACCAGGGACAACATGGGGAAATGTGAGGTTGTCCATCACACCATACAATGTTTGTGTTTAGGCTTATATCAAAGGGCCTGGGTAATTTCTCATCTGGCCCCCAAATATTAGCTGTGATAGGGAGTGTTATTAACTAAACTGCATCCCCTCAAAATTTATATATTGCAATCCTATCCCCCAGTACCTCACAACCTCCAGTACCTCCAACTATGTTTGGAGGAAGGGTTTTTAAAGAGGTAATTAAGGTAAAAGGAAGCCACTGGAGTGGACTCAATCCAACATGATTAGTGTCCTTATAAGAAGAGGAGATCAGGACACAAGATACAGACTGAGGGGTAGCCAAGTTAGGACACAGTGAGAAGGTGGCATCAGCAAGCCAAAGAGAGAGACCTCAGAAGAAACCAACTCTGCCAACACCTTGTTTTCAGACTTGTACACTCCCAAACGGTGTGAAATAAATGTCTAGTGTTTAAGCCACCTCACCTTAGGGACTTTTTCACAGCAGCCTTAGCAAGCTGATCGGGGGATGAACACCAATATATAGAAAATCATGTAGAGCAGTGGAAGTATAGAGCAGGATGACCAGTTTATGGGTTTTCTTAACTCTTCCTGTCCAGACCTTGAGGTAACCCTGCAGAAACTGCACATTTTATAAATCTAAAAAACATATTATGCTCCCCTTGGAAACACTGAAGTGCTCTGAATCTCAACAAGAGTGCTCTGGATCTCCACAGTCAACACATAAGGACTTGAAATATTTGAATTCTGAGAAAAGATGGGCTCTCTGCTCATGAGCTTATGAGTTTGCTTCCTGACAGGTCAGGGTAGTCTTTTTCACTAAATCATAACTTCTCAGCAGAGTGTTCCAGGGCACCAATCACATCCCACTCCTGCTCAGAACCCTGCCCATGGGCTCCTGTGGCCCTCAGCTAAAATAAGGACAAAATCTAGATTTGGGTCTGCACTAGGGACTCCTCTGTCAGCACAGTTAGCCTTCAAGCTACTCTGGTCCTTCAGAGCTCAGGCACAGCAGGCTCCCCAGAGGTGCAAGGCCTTGTATAAATGTTCTATCTGGATCTTTCTGGCCTAGTTAACACCTGTCACTCTGTAGACCAAAGCTCCACAGTCCCTTTCTCAGGAAAGCCCTGCCTGGCAACCCGCTCCTCACCCCAGCCTAGGTCAATTCCCTGTTGCCCCTTGTCCCCATAGGGTAATTACTTGTTCTTGTCTGTTTTCCCTGCTAAGCTGTGAGCTCCATGAGGGCCAGGAGCACAGTGGTGTGTGCTCTACCAAGGGTGGGTGGATTCCATAGGAGGGGGGCTGCCTCATGTGTTCATCTATAGGGACAGTGACAGACACTGGTTAATTACAGACTTGGCCTCACCCTTAGGGCTCTCCAGCAGCTGCTAAGCTTTGGAATCTGCCAAAGTTTAGATCTAAAGTGTCCATCCCTCAAGGGCCCATGTGCTGAAGGCTTGTTCCCAGAGTAATGCTTTGGGAAGGCTGTGAAAGCTTTAAGAGGTAGGACCTAATGGGGAATCTCCAGGTCATTTGAGGTGTGTGGCTGAAGGAGATTGCAAGACTTTGGTCTTTTCCCCTTTCTCTTCACATCCCAGCCATAAGGTAAGCAGCTTTGCTCCAACTCATGCTCCCTGCCATGATGTGCTGTCTCACCACAGGCCCAAAGCAATGGGGCCAACAGATGGTGGACTGAAACCTCCCAAACTGTGAACCAAAATAAACCTTCCTTCTTTACAGGTTGATTTTCTCAGGTGTTGTTAAGAAAAGGCTCAAGAAGGTAAGTAATTTGCCTAATAGTTCAGAGGTGTTAATGCCCAGAGATGCCTTCAGGTCCCAAGTCTGCATGACTCCAAGGTACATGCGCTCAGGCTGACCCCCATACCTGAAATCACAGGAGATATGGTTTCTGCCCGTGGGCCTCAGGCAGAGGGTCCTGAGGTGCTGTCTATATGAACACCCAAAATTGCTTGCCTTTGAATAAATTATATTTTGTCCATATCCAGATGTAACTGTTTCCAAATAAATACAGATCCTTTCATGATTAATACAATACAGCCCTGCCTAAAGGGGTCTGCTGAATTCAAGGCAGTTCTATATAGAGGGAAAACTTGGGTGAGCACACACACACTAAAACACATAGCATCTAATGTGCTGTTCCTTCTTCAAGTTGAAAGAGACCCATAGGAGATACGCTGTTGAATGGGGTGGGGAACACAGTTCCTTTACAATTTGTGTAAAACAAAAGGTATTTAAAGAAGCCAGATGTGGTGGTACATGCCTGTAATTCCAGGCATACTCAGCATACTCAGGAGGCTGAGGCAGGAGGATGATAAGTTGAAAGGGAGCCTGGGCAATTTAGCAAAACCCTGTCTCAAAATAAAAAATAAAAATAGCTGGGAGTGTAGCTCAGTGCACAGAGAGCTTGCCATTCACAGATGCCTGCTTGGGCTCAGACTTTCTCTGCAAGGACGCACCGGGCCTCTCTGTAGATGAGAACTTGGAGGCTCTGAGAAGGAGACATTTCACTGTATACTCTTCTGGACCACTTGAATTTTGTATCACTTAAATAATTAAAAAATCAAAACTTTTAATGAAATTAAAAATTTAAAAGGTGATAGCAAGAGGGCAACACTTAACCCTGTGGTGCAAAGTACTGAATTTCAGGCAAGACACTCCCGTGCCCTCTTTGATTTCTACACAACAGGAGCCCAGCGATGATAATCATGAAGACGGGTAATTGAAACCGGAACTTTAACACCAGAGTCACCAGAGGTGACCTTGCAAACCTGGCCTTTTGTCATAAAACAGCTTCCAGAGCTTTCCAAATGCCAGGGTCTTGGGGAAGGAGATCTAATTTTTCTTCCACTGGATCCACCTCGAGTTTCCTGTTCCTTCTATCTTTGACCCCACCCCCATCTGGCCCAGCCCCACCTTCCACATGCACCTGTCACCCACCACCCAGCCCAGCCACACTCACATGGACAGCACCTTCACCTCCAGTATCTCCTGCCTCAGCTCCAGGCATCTTGTGGAGTTATATTCAAAAGGCCCTTCATAAAATTCAAAGTACCTGAGAACCAACAAGGACAGGGTTACACAGAGAAGCAGGCCTGGTTTTTGGGGGCCTGCCAACGATCCTGCTGGGGGAGGGGATCTGTTCCAGTCAAACAAATAAACCAAACCAGCCCCACCCCAGCAGAGTCCAGGATAGCAGGCTCCAGGCAGGTGGTCAGTTACTGGAACTCTTTGCTGCCCCAGTCTGTAAGTTATTACAGCAGCAAGAATCCATTTCAGCAACTAAAATGCTTCTGCATTTGGTTCCAAGTTTGTGCAGTGAAGGAGGGGGAGAGGAGCTGAGACGCGATGTGTGCTGTGATCAGACATTGCTGGAGATCAGAGCCATTCAGACAGGCAATGAGCCAGCAGGCCTCTGGCTGTCCTGCCACTTCCTGCCCTTTTCTCTTTTCTCTTCTTGGAACAATGTCCTACAACACAGCCATAGACAGAGCTGAGATTTCCACTGAGATTTGCACTTTACTTTGCAAAGCATATCCAATTCCATCAGCTCACTTGAAGCTCATATTCATGCTGGGATGTTGGAGATTGATGTTTTTCTCCCCACTTAGCAGCTGAGAAAACTGAGGCACTGCAGACAGAGCCCCAGGTCATACTGTCAGCATAGGACAGGATGAGGGCTTAGTCTCTGTCCAACTGCAGAGGACCCCAAGTCCTTTCCAATGCCAGCTGGCTCCAGGGCACATCGCAGCCACCACAGAGCACTGCTGCCAGCTTCATGCAGAAAAGAATACCAGTTACATTTACAGCCAACACTCACCGAGCCTTTCCTATGGGACACAAGCTGGGCCCAGCATTCACTTTTCATCTTTCTAACTGGCCTGTGAAGTGATCACCACAAGCATCCCAGGCCCTGGGAATAAACTGATCTCCCCAGAGCCACACAGCTGGAAGATAGCAGAGCTGCACATTAACTCAAAGCTGCTCTTGCCCCCACTGGCCTAGAAGGACAGCTGGTGTCTTCCAGAGAGGGCCCTCTGGCCTCTCACACCATGAGTGAGGAGCTGCCTCCTGGGACAGAGGCCAAGTGACCCTCTCTCCACAGCCTCTCTCGTCAGGGATGATTCATCACCTAGGGCAGAGTTTGCTAGGAGAGCTGGGTCCCAGGACAGACTCAATCAGGAATTGAGAAGCCTGCAGGGCCATGGCACTCTAAACGTGACTCAGTGGCATCTTGATGGGTAATCTTATGAATCAGGAGTGAGAGAGGCACCCTAAGGGCTGATACAGAGCCAGGACCAAGGATGGGGAACACGGGCACCCTGGAGCATGTCCCAGCACTGGCGGCAGCAGATTGCACATGTACTTCCCACACTAAGCTCATGTGTACAAACATATGAACATGATGCTTCAGAAATCCTGAAACATTGTCAGGTGACACAGGCCTGTAAACCCAGCACAGGGAGGCTGAGACAGATGGATAGCACGTTCAAGGCCAGCCTGAGCTACATAGCAAGACCCTGCCAAAAAAATGAAATCCTAAAACATTTATTAAATATATTGGGTTCTTTTTAATATGTTTGTATCTTAGTAGCCAGCTGTGGTGGCACATACTTGTAGTTTCAGCTGCTTAGAAGGCTGAGCCAGGAGGATCACTTGAGCCCAGGAGTTCAAGACCAGCCTGAGCAACATAATGAGACCTCATCTCAATCAATCAATCTATTTTAAGGCATCTTAAATATAATTTCATATTTAATACTTTAAAGTTACATTTGTAAATATTTATTCTTAATTTAAATATTTAATAGGTAATTTTAAGTACTATACTTATTTAAATAATTTTTAAAAAATATTAATATATCTTATACAACAAATTGGCTCCTATTTACAAAATAAATAGGCTCCTTTAAAAAATAGTAATATATCTTATACAACAAATTGGCTCCTCATGTCATAAAAGAATTCGGGCAGAATTAATAAGAACTAGGAATGGAGGAGCCTTAAAATATCAAACTCATCTTTTCCTCTCTGTTCCCCTTGTGTTTGGAAACTCCTTTCTCTGTCTTTCTCATCTAGCAAACTCATATTGATCCTTCAGTACCCAGCCCAAATGCGCACACTTCTGGGAAGACTTCTGTGACCCCTACTCCAGGGCTCACTCTGTGCACTCTCTCAATAAAGGTAAATAACATTGTATTGCAATATTTTGCTTATATATCTGCAACCCTTCCACACTGAGCATTTCAAACACAGGACCATGTACTTGTTATCTCTACCTTCTGTACTACAGTGGCAAGAAAGTTAAAGACTGCATTTCCCACACTCCTTTGCAGCTAGGGCTCTTGGTGCAATTTAGGTTCATCCAATCAGATGCATTTGCAGGAGTCAGCTGTTACTGTACCTGAGAGAGAGGGCAAGGCACAAAACAAGGTTTTCCTGGTGAGATAATGCAACAAGGTGGCATGGCTCTTGGAAATTGCACTAGTAGCAGTGCCTTCCTGATTATATCAGGGGCAGCAGCTTTCATGAGTAGCCCCACTTTTAAAAAATTCATTAATTTTATTAGTACATTTTAGGTATACAATATGTTGACATTCATTATTAAGAATTTGTATCTTTACATAATATATCTTGGTTCTTATTTTTTCCCCCATTCCCCTGCCCTCCCTTCAACTCCTCCCCCCTCTCTATTTACAAAGACTTTCTTTCCATTTTTTCCTTTATGAATGGCCCCACTTTACAATGCAGTTTAGGTCCTGTAAGCTTAGCCATTTCTTCAGTTTTCCCAAGGATTCTGGGCTACCTGTTCCCTTGCCTTTTCTCCTTCAACTAGCCAACATGGATTCTGCAACCAAGAAATAGTAGTCAGCCTGGGGCCACCAAACAAGCCCATGACTTTGGCTCTAACTCATGTAGTTTTCCAGTCACACTGTGGTAAGTGAGGTCTAGTGTCTTACCACAAACATTTTTATTTGCAGCCAGAACCAGTGTCACTAAACTGTGGGAATCCACTGTGTTAGGCAAAGTGATACAGGATCATGGGTTGCTGCTAGAAAAAGAAAAAGTCCCTACACAAATGATACCAGAGATAATTAGAAGAATTATCCTAGAGTCCTCAGGGAGCTGAGAGATTTGCAGACACATCTCCAGTGTTGGTGCAAGCCAGCTATGTGATCTTGGATAAATCATTTCCCCTCCCTGTGTCTTTTTCTCCCCCTGAAAACAATCTGTTTGAATGAGGACAGCATCTTCCCTTTGACTAGCTGACCCTCCAATTTCCTCCTCAAAGTTGTCCCACCTTGCCTCTTCCAGCCTTTGCTTGGCTCCCATTTCTCCTGAATCTGTTTCAAACCAGACAGTAGACTGATTCCAAATAGTCTTGTGCCACATGTCTAGTGGCTCACAAGAAGAGAGGCTTTCATACTGGGCTCACATCCTTCATCAGGCACTGCAATGATCTGAATGTTTGTATCCACCCCCCAGTTTGAGATCCTAACCCCCAAGGTGATGGTGTTAGGAAGTGAGCCCTTGGAAGGTGATGGGGGTAGAGTCCCCATGAATGGAATAGTGCCCTTATAAAAGTGGTCTGAGGGAGACCCCTTGTCCCTTCCATCATGTGAAGATACTGCTAGAAGGTCCTGTCATGAACCAGAAAGTAGGCCCTCACCTGAATCTTGGCTTCCAGCTTCCAGAAATGTGACAAATACATTTGTTGTTTATAAGCCACCCAGTCTGTGATATTTGGTTATAGCAGCTAAGATAGCCACTTTTGGGCTATCATTTCTCTAAGGCTTAGTTTTCTTACCTGTAAGATCAGCAAAAGTAGGGCAGCATGGAAGTGACAAGAGTTGAGATGAGACTTAAGTGAGCATTTATTTCTCTAAGCCTTAGTTTTCTTATCTGTAAGATCAGCAAAAATAGGGAAGCATGGAAGTGACAAGAGTTGAGATGAGACTTAAGTGAGCATTTCTGCAAAGCACTAGCACACATGAAATACCAAGAAATGTTCACTTTCATCGTCCCCTTTACTCCTGCTACTAAAGGGCAAGTGCTCCCAATAGTTGCCACAGGGAGGCCCAGGGAGTCAGAGACTTGCTTTCCAGGCCCTTAGCTGGCTGATGGCAGAGCTGAGTCAGGGATGAGTAACTCCGGAAGCTTGTCCACCATCTGTTCTGGTGACACTCCCCTTCTGCTGAGATCAGTAAACCTCCCCCTTCCACCCTGTGTACTGATAAAGCGAAGCTCTGCTTGGGTGTGGGAATGTCCTTGATCACCCATCTCGCTGCAGCTCCATGCACTAACCATGTGTTCCTGAGCCTTTGACCCCTGGGGCCTTGCCCATCCTGGAGCTACTGTTTCTCCAAAGGACAGCCTGCTCCTAGAGACAGTAGGAGACTAACCTACAAGTGCATCTTTCATATGCAACCCAACCAATCAGAGCTGTGCCCTAGACCACCTCCTCCATCTAGTTTCCACATTCTGGGCTACCTAATCACCTGGGGCCAGGTACTAGGCAACTAGGGACAGGCTTTACACCTGAAGCCTGATGAAATTATCCAAAGGAGTCAACCCTAGCCTGGATGCCCTGCCTCCCCAGTTCCTGCCCATGGAAGGCTCCGGCCCACATTTACCTTGTGCTTCCTTGGCCTTCTGACTGACCCTGGTGTGGCCCAGGTGGCCCTGCATGGCATGCCTGCACTGCCTCTTGTCTGCAGGAATCTGTGAGTATTATCTGTGATAATGGGTAGGAGTCAGATATGAACATCTGAGGTGCAGAACAGGAGGTAGAGCACGAGGGACTCCATGAGATGTTGGGGAAGAGAGCAGACAGAGGAGAAAAGAAGAATGAACATAGGACTGAGGTCAGCTCTAGGTTTAGGTGGTAGCAGAGGGGACAGAGAAGGAAGACATTCAGGGGTTGGGGAGGATTATTGTGACATGGGAGGTGAGAAACTTCAACCTCAGCTTGTGCTAAGGCTGCCATTTTCTGACCATGTGTCCTATTGACACAATCAGAGACCACCACGGGGACAGAGGACACACAAACTCCTGAGC